TCACTACAGGAAAAGGTGAGCTGAATTAATACTTATCTTTAACAGTGCTTTGCCTTATTTACTTTATGAATATCTTCAATTCTTCATTAATATTTAAAGATACTTTACTTTTTAATCACCCAGAAAATAGACACTTATTTACAGATGTAACACATTGTGTGTGAGTCTTTGTCTGCCTCTCCCTCTGTTTCTGTATTTCTTTCTTCATCTCTGACTGTTTGTCTCCCTTCACCTCTCTCTGTCTCTCATTCTGTCTCTGTCTCTTTCTCTGTCTCTGTCCCTCCCCTCCCTCTCCCTCTGTGTATGTGTGTGTGTGTGTGTCTGTCTGTGTGCGTGTATATGTGCGTGTGTGTATCTGTGTCTTACTGAGAATCAAACCCAGACCTTATACCAGGCATCTTCATGACCGTTGACCTACATCTTCCTCTCCAACAATTTAAATAATGATTCTGTTATTTGAAAATTGAGAACATTGGCCAGCAACCGAAGTCTCCTTTTCTAACTCTAATTTTTGATACTAAAACTTTAATTTTTAAAATGTTGCTGCTGCTAATCTGAAAACAGGTTAGTTTTGTTCAGTAAGAGAGTTAAGTGAGATTTCAAATGTAGAAGGAACTTTCTAAACCAGTGAACTTTTATATGTAAGTATAGGTCTAGTTTTGATAATTTTACTTTAGTCATAATAACTGATGACTCTTTTATTGTGAATACTACATCCCTATAATATTAACTAAAATCCCCAATAATCTCCACCAAAGATTTTTCTTTGTCCTGTGACAATTTGGATTAAATTGTCAATTTAAAGTGATTACATATTAGAAAGCACAAATGTAAGAGATATCCTAATACGTACTTAAGAATAATAGGATTTTAAAATTTCTTCAATATTAAATTGAACTTAGTAAGTGCCCTGAAGGCAAATGCATCTTTTAAACTAATTATCTGTTCTGTGTATTCTATTTAATATTAAAAAGACACTGATTAAATAAAATCAATCACATTCCTCTGTAGTCACATCTCTCATTGATTAAATAAAAATATACAGTTCCTGTATTAATTCTAATTAAAAAATATATTACAATGAGAACTATATGCTCAAGATAGTCTTCAAAACTAAAACATTTATTCTTTTCATCTTCAATATTTAAAAATATGTGCAGAAGAGAGGAGGAGTGGTAATATGACACCTGAGTGTGTGTTCTGAGAAGCAGCAACTGATTTTTCTTCTGCCTGAGGCCTTAATGCAACCTGAGAGGAGGCTACCCGTGACATACTGATTTGACAGCCACCCTTTCCCTACTCGTGCTGAGTGCAAGGGAGCTCTCAGATGGGGACATTGCCATCATTTTTACACTTCAGCAAGTGTCTCTCAGAAGGCAGAGAAGTTCTGAGGCTGGTGGCTCCCCCCCCACCCCACCCTCGTTTTAGGTGTGGATGCCACCTGACCTGGGTTAGGCCTTCAGTGTTGCTTGCCTCTCTTATCTCATCCTTAGTTACTCTATTCCAGTGCTCAGAGAAGTTCATCCAGCTTCCTTGCTGTCTCCATCTCCACAACTCTCTGCAAAGCCTAAGACTCTGAGATCTTGGCAGATCCCTCCAGATCTAAGGAAGAGGAAGTTCCCTTACTAGTATCCACAGACTCCTAATTCAAGACAGGTGATAGCAAGGTGATAAAGGGTTTTGGAGTCACATCTGCAACAGCTTTCTGTTTGTCTTTATGCCCTTAACTGTTGGGGGGGTTTTGTTTGGTTTTGTTGGTGGTGGTGGCTTTTTGACAATGTGGTGTATAGCTTTGACTTTTGAATTCAAATCTTAACCTTTTCTTCGCATCTGTATTACCTTTTGATCCTGTGGGTTCTTGCATTCAGAACCTAGTGAAATGTTAACCACAAGCCTGTGTTTCTTAACCATCACACACTGGCATCGTGTCAGCACTAATGCAATACCACCTCATCTGAATGTTTATGGCAACTAATTCATTTTTACCACTCCCACCTCCGACTCTCTCTGTTCTTTTCCAGCAGCCTACTTGCCTGTATTTTCTCATTTGTAGGAATAGAACTTTAGGTCACCATGAAAATGAGGCTTATTATTTCTCTCCCATATATGTACAGCCATTAATTTTTTTCTGAACATAGAAACTTCATTGCTTTTACCAGGATAATGTACATTTTTATTTTAATGTCCCTAAGGAAATAATCTAATGCATATTTAAATTTTAGAATGGAAATATAATGTATAATTTATTTTTTACAAGCTTTACTATGGTTACCAAACACAGTACAATGCATACTAGCAAATATCAAATTTATATTCAATCACTACTATTATTTTTCTTATGCATCTATAAGTGTGTCTTCATATGTAAATCTGTATAGACTCATAATGCTACATTTCATCTGAATGAAGTGCATTCGTATGTATAAATACTATATACTATATACATAATATGTACTATGCACACCTATATGCATAATCTAAAATCCCTATTAACTTTCAGTTTTAGAGAAAATAACATCTACTGTGATACAAAATCCCTAAATATTTCAGCAAGAAACTTCTACTATTGAGCACGATTTTCTGCATGGTAAAATTTTATATTTACACTATAGAAAACTAACAGCAATCCCCATATATCACTTATTATCCTGCCCATATTTAAATGTGTGCGAGTGTTCTAAAACATATGTTTTATTGCTTTTATTTGCTTATTTAGCTGTTAGGGAAATGGGATGCCATTTTAGATGCATGATTTTATTTAGTTGTTATCCTGAACAATTTATCATATCACAACCACCTCGTTTAGCTTTCTAATAAGTTGCTTCCTCATACAAGCAAAGAAGAATATACTTTCCGAAGTTGGAAACATTTTGAGATTCTTTCTGTTTAGGGTTCTTGAGAAAGGTCTCATTCTGGTTGCTCACGAGTCTCACAGTTCCTTGGTTCATGGCATATGCCTGGATAAAGATGAATAGGAGATAGATGGTCAATGTGGCTGACACATAGCTTTGAACTGGCTTTGTGGAAAGGAGTATATTTTGTCCATCACTCATTAGCTCACCTGTTCTACACATTGAGTGGATTAGAAGCCAGGATATTTATTAAAGTCAAGACTGTCTCAGTGAAAACTCCTCCAAGCCTCTTATCAATTCATCTTTAAAATAATACTAATTTTTCTTGTACATTTTTCCAGTCAGTGAGATATTTGACCAAAGTTCCTTCACACATTGCAATGCCTTTTTCATCAAAAATCTGGCAGCAGTATTTGCAACTCATGTTACATAAGGGTCTTCTAAGCAGAGTTGCAGTTGGAAAACTTGTGTTTCTTGTAGAACTCTCCTAGATTTATTTCCAAGTGCATCAGATTCCTATCCTTTCACTGTGCTACACATTTCTGAGGGTGCCTGGGTTTTTTTTTTACCAATTTTAGACATAGGTATACATTTATTATTTACTTCTAATTCCCTGATCTTTATAGAGTTCCACTGGTTAAGAGAGTAAAACAAAACTCTGTATGTCTGCTGTTTTAATACCCACCAGGGTAATCCAACATTATCTGGATCTTCCTTCACATGGCCTAGATATGGAGGGGAGAGGCAAAATATAATCATGCACACATGTATAAGAAATTGAAGGTTGAAAACAATAGAAAGTTTCATTCAGTATTTTGTGTGTGTTAGAGTCAACTATCTTTACAAATTGGTATTTTATATAATAAGCTCCACAGAAGCCAGGATTGCAGGATTTTGGAAGTTATTAATCTTCTCTTCATTTCTTTCATACATTTGAACACACAGAGAGATATGTATGCACATGTGCCTGTGCATAAATATGCACACACATTACAAAGGTAACTTAGAAAGTCACAGCAGTGGTAGATAATGGAAGAGTACTCTCATAAAGGCTAAAAAGTTTGGACTGGCTTAATCTTTTAAAAGTACTTTCAAATAAGAGGTTTTGGTAATTATTTAATTACACACAAATTGTGCAATTTATTAATAGTAATGGAGTTTACTAATAGAAATAGGTTTAAATAGTGATAGAGTTTAATAACAGTAATGTTTCGTATTCTGGAAAAAGGCAAGAACCATTAGTTCTGCATGCATCCAAAAGGCAGGGTCTATAAGAAGAGATGAGAGCTTGCTGGAAAATGGAATGCTGGTATTGACAAGAAGAAAGACCTAAAGTTATGGGGATTGCTATATGAAGATCTGTGCCAGTTGAGAATGAGTTCTTTCACCAACAAAGCCGTCTTCGGAGGTCCCTTGTCTCATAATGCTGTGTCAGGGCTTTTTAATTTATAAAATATCTTTATGAATACTTTTACATATTTTTTTTTACCCTACATATCTTTTGTGTATGCATTCTGGCTTCTGGTTTTGTGTTTCTATGGGATTCCTGAGTGTGCATATGAATGGGTCTCTTGTATCTGTATCTGTTTCTTATGCCTTTTCTTGGGCTCTTTTCCTTGTGCTGGAATGCTTTGTCATTTTATAATGTATTTCCTTTTGTTTTACTTTTATTATTATGCCCTAGAAACATGTTTCTTTCCCAATGAGAGACAGAAAGAAGATGGACCCAGATGGGAGGGGGGGAGCCTAGGAAGGGGGACTATAATCAGGATATATTATATGAAAAAATCTTTTGAAGTAAAAAAAACGATACTTAAAGAATATGCTAATAACTGAGCTGAGATTAATAAGTTATCACTGTAAAGAAGACGTATATGCACAAAGACAATGGAAGCAGGAGTAGTGAGCAGGAGTGGTTGTTGGTGTAGTCTGAATAAATGAACTCGTCCTTTGGGCAAGTTAGTTCACAATCTGACATAGATTTCTTCGAGCATTCCTTGTCTACTGCCCATTTATTTAATTCAGGGAAACAAAAACGTATATATGAAGAGACTATGGTTCCAATTCATGCATCTTACATATATACAGTAGTATTGTAATATCATTGGTGTTTTCTTTTCTCCTTTTTTATAAACTTCTCTTTCTCAGCAGACTATGCCCACTGCAGGAGTTTCAGTTCCTGAGGTATGTAAGAAAAATGCAATAACTGTTACAACTAAAAGTCATGATCATCTTATGCTGATGTAAGGGACATTTTCATTGATTCCAAATAATAGATAACATTAACACTTTAAAATTAATACAACAATGACCATGATGATGAAACCCACAAAGACAGCTGACCGGATAAAGGGGAGTTCTTGAATCCCAGACTGATGGCTGAGAGGCCAACAGGAGACTGATCCAGACTCCATGAATGTAGTGCCAGGGAGGAGGCCACAGAAATCACTGGGGCCTTGGGTAGTAGATCAGTGTTCACTATGGTTAATGAATGAGCTTTGGGAGCCCATTCCAAATAGAGGGATGTTCCCTCAGCCTGGACACATGGGGAAGGGCCTAGGTTCTGCCCAGGATGAAATGACAGACATTAGAGATTACCCCAAGGAGGGCCTCACCCTCCTTGGGGAATGATGTGGTGATTGGGTGGGGGGCTGGGGGACTGGTGGAGGGACAAGGGAGGAGGGGTGGGAGAGGGAGCTGTGACTGACATGTGAAACATTCTTGTTCCTAATTTAAATATAAACATATATTGAGAAAAATTAATACAATAATGTTAATTTTCTACTTGTCAACTTTTTGATATTGACAGTAAAATTACTGATATTTTCAATTATGGAATAGTCTTAAAGAACTTTCAATTTATATTAGGGACAAAATGAGGGATATTAGAAATTGTATATCACAAAATATCAGAAATTATACATCACAAAATATCTAGAGAGTAATTTAAAGTTACTTTGCAAAGAATATGATCACAACTCATTGTACTCATATATGAAATTCTCAATATCAATTGTAAGGTCATGGCAAAAACAATCCAAGTCACTTTAACTCTTTGATACACTTAGTATGTAGCACTTGATAATAGTGTGCTGAGGGACTTTTGTTCACTTGACAGCAGTAGGAACTTCAAAAGAATGGCTAAGAAAATATTATGCAGCATAAAGCAACTTCATTAGAATAATATGTAGTCAAAATAAATGCCTTTTGTTTGAAAATAACTATAAATTTGCCTCATCTTTAAGTTAATTATTTAATGAAATTTTGTTTTCTTATTTCATTAATGAAGTCAATCACCCACTTTTCTCTGAGATAGTATCTCATTTAATAGTTATCTCTATAGGAACTGCCAGGTAGGGTCTTTTAGCATTAAAATTAAATCTACCTACTTGGGAATGAATTGTTTATAATATATAATACTACAGAGAAACACATTTATTCAAAGAAAAGTTTAATTGTAAACACTGAACCTGCTCTGCCCTCCATACCAACAAGTAGTTATTTCCCAGGTTAGACTGGTTCTAATAATCAGCATAACAATACTCGGTTTTAATGAGAAACTTGCTAGAAAATATGCTTGGAGATCTTTTTGATATATGATGTTCTTAATCTGAAAGAAATATAAGATATTATTTTTCAGTAAGTTGACTTCATTACTCTCTCCACTTATTAGAGGACAGAGATGATAGATTATATGCTAAAGTGACAGAAAATTCAAAAAGTTCATTATTTCATTGCTTTCAGAAGGGTGAAAGAATTGATTTTACATCCTCAAGTCCCTGACTTTATGCCTACCACTGCTCTAGGTCTAACAATTGACAACAAACTAAAGTCTTCATCATTAAGTTTTGTTCAGCTAGAAAGGTACTCATATCTTCCACAAGTTGTAATTCAAATTATCTGTTATTATGATATGCTATTTCTGTTTTAAAGGCAGATATCTTATATATTGTATTTTTAAAGTCTTCCTATTGTATGTTTTTTTCACAGTAAGATAGACTGTTTTTTATAAATTGTAGTTTTTCACTAACCCTCACAATTTTGATATAGCATATTCTTAAAGGCAAATATGGTCATATGTATGTGTGAGGGAACCTCAAAAATACACACACATACTCACTCCACGTGCATCCTAATGTGCTAGTCTATAGAACAACTTCTAATGGGTTAACTGAAATACATTCAAAATAGTAAAAGAACTCATAGAAATGTGCACATATTAAGCATTAACTATCAACTATTAATATTGGGTTACACTTTTTGCATAGGACTGGGAACTTTCCTATGAGGCCATCTTCTAATTAGCAATGCACTGCATTTCTTGAATATAACAATGCCTTGTACCGTGGCATTTTCAGTTGTTTTAAAGTATTACAAAAATTAAAGGCATCTGTGTAATAATTTAATTATTTTTGTTGTTCACTCCCCAACACAATTGTGTCTACATACAACTGGAACACCCCCACTCCCACACAGCTTTCTAACCTGTTTCTTTTCTTTCTTCTTTTGGAAACACTTCTGTATTATATATTTAAATTAGAAGCAAGCTTGATTACCATGGCATTGCCAGTTCTTTCTCCCTCCCCCTCCCTGCCTGCTCCCACCAGTCAGCCCCCTCCCACCCAATCCCCACTCCATTCCCCAGGGAGGGGAAGGCCCTCCATGGGGGATCTCTTGAGTCTGTCATTTCATTCCTGGGAGGGCCCTCGCCCTCCCCCCAAGTGTTCAGATTGAGAGAGCATCCCTCATTGTGGGATGGGCACCCAAAGTCCATTTGTGTGCCAGTGATAAATACTGAACTACTACCCAAAGCCCCATAGATTGCCTAGGCCTCCTCACTGACAGCCACATTCAGGGGGTCTGGATCAGTCCCATGCTGGATTCCCAGCCATCAGTCATGGGTCCAAGATCTCCCCCTTGTTCAGGTCAGCTGTTTCTCTGGGTTTCACCAGCCCAGTCTTGACCCCTGTGCTCATCACTCCTCCCTCTCTGTCACCGGGTTCCAGGAGTTCAGTTCAGTGTTTAGCTGTGGCTGTCTGCCTCTGCTTCTGTCTGTCACTGGATGGAGGTTCTAGGATGGTATGTAAGACAGTCTTCAAAATTATTATCAGGGAGGGGCATTTAATGTAGTCTCTCTACTACTGCTTATTTTGCCAGTTGGTGTCATCCTTGCTGATCTCCGGAGATCTCATTCGTGTCAGATTTCCCCTCAAACCATGGGGGCGAGGGAGAGGGAGCCAGCAAAAAGAGAGGGGGAGAAGAGGAGGGAAGAGGAGAATATGGGGGAGCAGGAAGGTTGAGTTGGGGGAAGAATAGAGGAGAGCAAGATGAGAGATACCATGATAGAGGGAGTCATTCTAATCTGTTTCTATGCAGAGTTTTCAATCTAATTTTTATGGCAACAAATCTGTTAATTTATATTCTCAATTTGAAACAGTAAATGATGATTAAATTCTAACTCCTCCTGAGAAAATAGAGAAGTTTACTTAAAACTGGCAGAACCCTGTTGAGAACGCCACTGCAGCCACCATGCTGAACTTTGAATTTAGTTAACTGAGATGATGAGGGTGAGCACACTTGAGCTCTGCCTCCCATCTTGAAGGTTCTGAAACTGAAGACGGAAGGCTGCAGCCAGAAGGCAGCTTACTTACAGAAGGATGAGTAAGTTTGTCAGGCCTGCTTTTACTTTATATGTGTCATGATGTTATTTTGTAATTACGCTATCATATGTTAGTATAAAGTAAAAATTAAATTACTCAGACATAGGGAGTCCCACTCATTAAGTTTCTCCTTTCCACTTATGGATTTTTTAACTGGAAATACTGTACCATATATGCATCCTTTGAGTTATCTGGGGGTACACAATCCTAGAGTGCGGCATTTAAACCCAACACATGTAGACCACAATATAAAATGTGCCTTCAAGTTTAGGGCATGGGGAACACCACCTGGAACCACTTTAAACCAGGATGCAGTGCCTTCAGATTTGTGGCGTCCTACTATCTCCTGAGAGATATGCAACATCGTAACAGCAATCACTTTAAATTAAGAGGACTCAGTAAGCAATGACAGCACCACAGTGCTTCCTACATCACTACTTACTAGAGCTCACAAGCTCAGCAACATGTGACAAACTTAGTGACAACATTTGTTCAAAGTATTGCTGCTTACTGACGTGTTAATTTATCCCAGTACCAATGTCTCCGCTTTCTCTGTTAATGCTGGCTGAAGCCCTCCCACTTTTAAGGTGATGTAAAAGGTGATTCTGCAGTGGGAAAGAATGTGCCTAAGCTTGCACAATTAAAAGCAACAAGGCATGGATTTGCCTCCAAACCCTTTGTCAGGTTACTTTCATTTAATAAATGCTAATTTAAATTGAGACATGGAGGGCAGTTATGTGTTTAAAAGCATTTGCTCCTCTTGCAGAGAGTCTAGGTCCCATCCCGATTGTTCACATGGCAGTTCACAACCCTCTGTAATACTAGGTCCATCCTTTGCTGTTACTTTCCTCTGACCTCTGCAGACACACATGTGGTACACGCACACACACACACACACACACACACACACACACACACACAGACACATGCAAGCAAACCACTCATTCACATAAAATTAAAGAAATAAGTCTAAAGAGAGGAATTTAATAGCAAGTAAGAAACAGGTATCATTAGATTTTGTACCATTCCTTTTAGGTGTGCTTAACCCTTTAAAATAATTTTAATTAAGACTTCTGGCCGTAACTAAATTTTACTATGGCTTCCTGAGGAGTCGCAATAGATTTGGCTTCTTTGAGGTAAATCTGGCCAGAATATTCAAACTGTAGAGTATGTCCTTCCCAAAAGCAGGTACAGCTGATAGCTGTGGAGCTGTTTATCTTATTTTATTTTTGGAACTGATTTGTGTCTGGAGGCTGTTAAGTTTGTGAGCCCTGATGTATGGAAAGGACTCCTTAAATGCCTTAAACCTGCATATGAAATGTGTTAAGAACACAGCGTTTCTGGGTGATTTCTCTGCAGTCTCAGACAGGGTGGTAATCCCATGCTGACCACTCGTGTTGGGGCAAGTTCTGGGATCCAAGCGATAACTGCTGTTAACCGCAGAGCATTCTTCTTCGTGGCTTTGTATGAAGCCAAACGCTCCGTGGTTGCCTGTCTTTCATGCTGAGACTGCACAGAAAGGAG